CAGAAGACTTCCGGCTGCTGTTGGAGGGACCTGACCCGAAACCCGTTCCCTGGTGGGTTGTGGGTTCGGGAGTTTATTCAGGATACTTGAAATCCTAAGGGAGTGCCTACCTGCACTGCAAATTCATTGTACCCTAGAGGTAGAGCCAGTAGATACTTGTGAGGATGGCACTGGCGCTGTTGGAGGACTGGTGCCGGCTGATGAGTGTGGATGATCAGAAATCCCTGATGGTGATGGGGATCCCAGTGGAGTGTGAGGAGGCTGAGATCCAGGAGGTTCTCCAGGAGACGTTAAAGTCTCTGGGCAGGTACCGGCTGCTCGGCAAGATATTCAGGAAGCAGGAGAATGCCAGCGCCGTCTTATTGGAGCTTCTGGGGGACACTGATGTCTCGGAGATCCCCAGTGAGGTTCAGGGGAGGGGGGGCGTCTGGAAAGTGGTCTTTAAGACCCCTAACCAGGACGCTGAATTTCTTGAAAGGCTGCACCTCTTTCTAGAAAAAGAGGGGCAGACAGTCTCGGGTATGTTCCGAGCCCTTGGGCATGAGGGCGTGTCTCCAGCCGCAGTGCCCTGCGTGTCGCCAGAGTTATTGGCCCAGGTGGTGGGGCAGGCAGTAGCACATGCCCCGCAGCCCCTGCTGCCCATGCGATACCGGAAGCTGCGGGTGTTCTCGGGCAGTGCTGTGCCCGCCCCCGAGGAGGAGCCCTTTGAAATCTGGTTGGAACAGGCCACTGAGATCGTCAAAGAGTGGCCGGTAGCAGAGGCAGAAAAGAAAAGGTGGCTGATGGAAAGCCTGCGCGGCCCCGCCCTGGACCTCCTGCGCATATTGCAGGCAGACAATCCTTCTGTGAGTGTGGACGAGTGTCTGGAGGCATTCAAGCAAGTGTTTGGGAGCCTGGAGAGCCGCCGGACCTCCCAGGTGAGATACCTGAAGACCTATCAGGAGGAAGGAGAGAAGATCTCCGCGTACGTGCTGCGGCTGGAGACGCTGCTCCGCAAGGCTGTGGAGAAACGCGCCATCCCCAGGAATATTTCAGACCAGGTCCGCCTGGAGCAGGTGCTGGCCGGGGCGAGCCTCAGTGAGACCCTGTGGTGCAGGCTTAGGGAGCTGAAAGACCAGGGGCCGGCCCCCGGCTTCCTTGAGTTAATGAAGGTGATCCGGGAAGAGGAGGAGGAAGAGGCCGCTTTTGAAAATGAGAATACTGACGAGTCAGATGAAGGTGATGGCTATGGCCACTGGCATAAGGAGATTGATAACTAAAAGCTAAGTCAGAGTGAGCCTGCAGCCCGTGGGCCTGGGACTTCGCTTTACCAGGCTAAGACCTTTTCCATGGTCTTTTCTTTAGTGACTGCGATTAAAACCAAGGCATTCAAGCCAAGTCTTGATTCTTTCTGAGAAAAAATTAATCTGAGAGTTTCTTGGACCTTAACATAGATTACCAATAAACAAAATATTAAATTCCAAATGTGATATAGTAACCTAAAGGAAATGTCACGTTTCCTGTAAATATCCCCAATAGACAAAGTTTGCCCATAACATAGAAAGCAGAATTGACATGAGAAAAAAGTATCTTTTGTAACCTACCTGAAAACCTAGGGCTTTTTTTTTTCCCTGTCGGGTGATTTTTTTTATCGAATCAGCAAATTCCGTGTCCCTGAAGCAGTGAGAGGCTCTGTTCGAGGAGGTAACAGTCCTAAGGGCACAGCCATGCTCTCAGAGAGCGACAGGCTGGTCAGGGCAGGCCTCCCATGTGGAAGCTGAACAACCTCATGTGTAAATAAGTTCATGACGCCAGTAGCAGTGCAGCTGCCAAATGAACACAACCATCTCCACCTTTAGGATTCTCTCCTTTCTTGGGAAGCACTCCTCCTACCTCTGCCAGTTGTCCAGACACTGTGTTAGGCCCCGAAGACATAACACTCTGCCTGATCCCTGCTTTCAAGAGGTTCGCAGCGTGAGAGCGCCCTCAGGAAAGGGCGATGTTGCAGGAGGGCATGCTGGAGTAGCGAGCAGGCCTCTCTGGCTAGAGAAGATTTTTAGTGCCGACAGAAGGCAAAGAGGGGAGAGGAACGCACACTTACGAGGGCCTACGTGCCAGGTGTTGTGTGCATGTCGCAGTTAGTGTGTGCAGCAACCCAGTGCTCCGAGATGGTAAGCCGTCTCCTCCATATCAAATTGCTAACAAGTGGTGGAGCCAAGGCAAGAATTGAGAACTCTCTGAAGCTCCATATTTACAATGGATTTCAAACCTTTTAAATCTCTAATAAATAGTGGGCAGATGCAAGTGTGTTGATAACCACATTTTAGCACCTAGGCATTCAGCAACAGGCTCACTTTTGTTTTCAGGCGTTGGAGAAAAGGTTCCCTTGCACTACCTGAGCATGTAGCTGAACTTCGCTCTCTTTTTTTCCTTTTTATTGAATCTATTGGGGTAACACTGGTTAACAAAAGTATGCAGGTTTCAGGCGCACAAGTCCACAACACATCATCTGCACACTGTATTGTGTTTACCACCACAAGTCTTCATCCATCAACAGTTGTCTTCCCTATACCCTCCTACAGCTCTCCCTACCACCCAACTCTTCTTAATGTTCATAGATTAAGGGACCTGTAGCTTCTCATGGGTATTTAAATCAAGCCCATGCATGCCCTTGATGTCGAGTATGCTGGTAGAGCGATGACCACCATTCTGTGAAATGCTAGTTGATGTAGCACAGCATGGTAGCTCTGGGTACAACAAACTTGCTGAAATCCTCTGAACATCGGTTTCCTCATCAGAAAAATGAGAAGGTAATGGAATAGGGCTGTATGTTAAGATCAAATGACATAATGCCTTTTAAGCACTTAGCATGATGTCTGGAGGATAGAAAGCCCTCAATATATGGAGACATTACTATCTCCATGATGCTTTTCTGCTCAATGCATGCTGTCTTTATTGTTCTAACAGTTGTGCCACAGCAAGTAAATATGTAACCTGTGAGTCAAGTTGTGATAACATTGCATTAGAAACCCTTTTAGCTCTTATGGTAAGTGTGAGTGCTTCGTGTCTGTTACTCTGTGGAAAGTATTCTAGCCAATTAGACTATTCCTAGTGATTTGACTTTGAAACAACATTATAATTTCTGATTGTGGATCATTTTAACTGAAGACTACCTTACGATTGTAAGAAAAGAATTTTTTTAAAAAAAAGGATCATGTGTGATCATTTGCCTAAGTTATATTTTTCAATACTGTTCAACCACAGTGGCATGATATCACCCAGTGCATCCTGATTTCATGTTTTGTACTCATGAAAATGCCCTCACTGTTTTTATTTATTGACAATATGTGAAGTAAACTATTATAAATGTGAAGTTATAAAATAAATACATACTTATAAAACTCTTAAGTTTTTTCTGTTTCATGCAGCGTGGTTTTGTATAAACTATTACTTGAAGGAGTTTTCCTAGTATTGGTAAAAGAAAAATTTTGGTAGGTAAGATTAGAAAATCACTCCAAAGCCAAAAGGTCTTGAACTCTTCTAGACATACAATCCTGAGAACAAAACACTGGAACATGAATACTTGGGCTTTGTCTCCAGGGATGGGAGGGCTCAGTCCACCCATAATTGATTTCTCTTTAAAATACAAAAAGTGACAGATGGAGGCCAGGTTCCTCAGAGACCTTCGACTCATTTGCTCAGACAAGTAACTGCAGACAATTCACCAGCCTCTATTCTGCCAACAGTAAAATGACCGAATGCTGAAATATTGCATTTCTTGGATGAAGTCATTTTCTACTATATATACTAGTATGTGCAGGGTGAAAATTTTCTCTCGGCTTTGGTCCTCTTGAATTGTTTCTCTTCCTTTTTTTCAATGGGGGAGCATTCTTCATTGGGCTGCACACGGTAAAGATGGCCCCATTACAAGGCCAGTGTCCTGAGGCTTACCCAACGCCCTCTCCCAATGACTTCAGCAAAAACCTCTTAGAAGACTGGTCTTACCTTGTACTAAATATCTCCAGTGCTGACCCTCAGAGACTGAGGTCTCCAAGGTTACATAGCCCACTGCTGCGATAGCTTTTCACCAGGGCCATCTGTGGGAAACTGATATAGGGTTAAGCCTCGGACTGACTTGCTGGCAAAGTCACAAACAAGCCCTAGGTTAGAGGGCACAGTCCTCTTAGCATAATTAGGCTTGACCTTATAACACTCCCTAGATCTTATCTGGGGATCTAATGGGCTGAGGAAGTGCAGGAAGTGTAACCATGGTGTAAACAAGTGAAACTCACAAGAACTGTGTAACTATGGTAACCACTACCTTGTTTACCGCTCACTATAAAAAGCTTGGTGAGGCCTGAGCACAGTGGAAGTCCTTCCTCTGGAATTGGACTTGCCGCCTGGTCCCCCAATATTCCCAAATTATCTAGTGTCTTTTCTATTTCATTTGTGTGCGGCTCCTCTTCCAGACCCGAACCCTGAACCACGCAGGACGTGGAGGGAAACACGACAGCCATCAGCCTCTTCAGGCCTCGGGCGTCACCTGACATCTCCGCCTGTATCAGCCAGTCCTGCCAAGCCTCTCATCCTGTTTTCTTTTGCTGTCCATCCTCAAGGCAAGACTCTGACCATCAGTTCTCGTCTTTACTGTCATGTCCGTGCTACCCTGTGCTTCCCAGTGCTGGCCTTTAAGATCCTCTAACACGCCTACCAGATATTCAGTCCTAAACAAATGTGCCTATATTATCAGCGTCCTTGCAGAATACCCTGTCCTCATATTCCTTAATTGACCACTGGTCCTTGTGGTAGTCTGTTGCCCTCAAGTCCCTTTAATGGAAGCTGCCCAGTCTCGCCACCTCAGGAGAGATGGGGAGTGATGGTAGCATTTCTTTTAGCTCATCATCATCACCTGCCCATTTGCAAACACATTTGCTCCCTCCTGGCATATGCTCACCAACTCTGCCCCACCACCCACCATAGACCAGTTCTGACAAGCCTTAAAAAGGAGGCCAAAGAGGGGCCCACTTAGGACTAAATCTGGCTGGGGTCATCTAAAGCAACAAAAAGTAGGAAGAAAAAGATAACGAGGGTAAACCATGTTCAAGAGAGTTCTGCAAAGTCAAGACTCGGAAAGCATAGTTGTGAAGGGGTGGAACCTGAAATGAAGCACAAAGTGAAGTAAGAGGATCTGAGACAATTGTCAGATGCCCTAGAGGTTTGTTTTTGTTGACCACCAGCATAATCTTTGGATAGTCTCCCTCCCCTTCTTGTCTGGGTGGGCCAGGAACTCCTTGAGTTTGCCCAGAGAGAAGCTGGTTGAGAAGCAGAAGATAGTGCCTGTAGATGGCCTTCTCAGAAGCTGGCCTTCCACTGTAGTGGGCCCTGGAGTGGTCCCTGGCCCGGAGCTGCATTACACAACTCCCAGATGTACCCAAATGGTTCTTGGCATCCCAAATGGACACTTTCTTAAAAACTAGAGTAACTCCAGAAGTGTATGTCAAAAATCAATTCATCAGAAGAAAAAAAGGTGTCGCATTTCAGTCTCTCAGGACACCAGCTGGAGCTGCCCATCTAATCGTCTGGGCTGTTTGAAGCAGCAGCTGAGACTTCCCCAATCTGCCCACCCCCACCTCCCACCCTTGAAGGGAAAAGTCATGAAAGGGAGGAGTGACCTACACTGGGGGGTGGTGTTGAGGCTGAGAGCCACTGCAGGAAGTCCCCAGGGAAGGCAGGGGAAGCCCACTCCCTTCCTGTTCTGTCCCAGATCCGCCCTGCTCTGCACCATGTAAAGGCAGACCCACTAACGGCCTTTCCTGGCTTCTTGGCACAACAGGTAGGCCAACAAACTCAATTACTAAAATAAGCCTTTTTGTTCTGGGATGTGGATAAGTTACTTGCTAACAACTTTATCCTTTTGATTCTTACTGTTAAGCATTGTTAGGCAGCACCAGCATATAATTTAATCTAGGTTTACTTTGCCCCAATACTATGACAAAATCTTTATGAGTCCTCTACCCATAGCTTTCCATAAGTTATGAGGCTTCCCCTTAGTTGGTGGGAAGAGGCACTATTCCTAAACCTGGTGTGAGAACCGATGACTATTTCCTCCAATTATTTTAAGTGATTTTTTCCCCAGCATTGGGTTGTTTCTTTACACACAGGAGCTAATCAGTAATTCAGTGATTACTTAATGGGGACCTTCGGCAGATCTCCAGAATTCTCTCTCATCTCCAACACTCTGTTCTATGAACTCTAGCTGCCTTGGCCTCCTTATGCTCCTAGCTCCTTCTCTGTAACTCTGGAAAACCACCATGTTCTACTTGGATTCTCTCCCTGCAGTGCAGTCAAGTTTTTCTTCAGGCAGTAAGCTGGAGCAATTATGGGGGGTCAGTTCATTTTTTCCTGATTCTCAGAAATCACTGGTCTTGATTCCTGATCATCAATACCTATGAGCTCTTATTTCATGTATTTTTTTTGTTCTTTCAGACCAAAAAAAAAAAAAAGTGTAAATCTAATCCCTATTATTTTATCTTGGCTGAAAATGAAAGTTTTTTTGTGTTTAATTTGCTTATAAAGATACTTAAAATTAGGAGAAATATCTTTCGTATTTACTCATCCATTTAATGTTTCTAGGACTCTTCATTTTTTGTGTACATTTGAGTTTGGATCTAATATTATTTTCCTTCAGCCTAAGGAATCTTCTTTAACTATTTTTTGTGGTGCTAGTTTATTGACAATGAATTACCTCAATTTGTTTGTATGGAAAATGTCTTTATTTTAGCTCCACTTCTTTTTTTTTTCTTTTTTTGTTAATCCTCACCTGAGGATATTTTTCCATAGATTTTTAGAGAGAGTGTAAGGGAAGGAGGGACACATACAGAGAGAGAAACAGCAATCTGAGAGAGACATGTCCATTCCTGACCCAGGCCAGGGGCCAAGACTCCAACCGAGGTACGTGCCCTTGACTGGAATCAAACCTGGGACCCTTCATTTTGCAGGCTGACGTTCTATCCACTGAGCCAAATAAGCTAGGGCTATCTCCACTTTTTAAGAATAGTTTCACTACATTCTATAATTCTAGGTTGGCAATTTTTTATTTCAGCATATTACATGTCATTTTTTATTTTCTGGCTTGTACTATTTCTGACAAAAATTCTGTAGTAAATTTCACTTTTGTTCTCTTGAATGTAATAGTGGCTTTTTGTTTTGGGGGGTTATTTTTTGTTTTGTTTTTTGTTTGTTTGTTTGTTTTTTGTTTGTTTTTTGGTTTCTTTAAGATTTTGTCTTTTTCGGCCGACTAGCATGGCTCAGTGGTTGAACGTCGACCTATGAACCAAGAAGTCACGGTTTGATCCCGGTCAGGAGACATGCCAGGGTTGCAGACTTGATCCCTAGCATGGGGCATGCAGGAGGAAGCCAATCAATGATTCTCTTTCATCATTGATATTTCTATCTCTCTCTCCCTCTCTCTTTCTCTCTAAAATAAATAAAAATATGTATTTAAAAAAAGATTTTTGTCTTTCTTACTGATTTTCATCAATTAGATTATGATGTATTTTGATGGGGTATCTATTCTGCTTGGTATTCATTGAATTTCTTGAATACTGAGGAAATGTTTGACTATTTTTTCAAATTATTTTCTGATCCTATTCTTTTTTTGGAACTCAATTGCAAATAAGTTAGACTACGTATGGCTCTGTTCTTTTTTTTTCACCCCCACCCCCAGACTTTTTTCTCTGTGTGCACCTATAGAGAGAGTTTCTTTACTAGTTTTCAATTTCATAGGTTTTTTAATTCTGTGAATCTAATCTACATTTAAGCCCATTTGGTGAATTTTTCACTTTTGATATTTTATGTTTTAGCTCTATGTTCCATGTGGTCCTTTTTTATAGCATTTATTTATCACATTATCTTCAGGTTTAAAAAAAATTATTGAGCATGTTTATAATGGCTCTCTTTTTTTTACTATTTCTTTTTTTTATTTTATTGTTCACAGTATTACAGATGTCTCCCATTTTCTCCTTTTTTGCCGCCCTTCACCCCACTCCCGCCCCACCCCAGACCTTCCCCATGCCATTGTCTGTGTCCATGGGTTATGCATATATGCATAAATGTTCTTTGGTTAATCTCTTCCTGTCCCCTCCTCCCAACCCACTCTCCAATGAGATCTGTTACTGTTTCATGCATCCATACCTCTGGCTCTCTTTTGTTCATCAGTTTATTTTGTTCTTTAGATTCCACTTATAAGTGAGATTATGTGGTATTTGTCTTTCTTTAACTGACTTATTTCACTTAGCATAATAGTCTTCAGATCCATCCATGCTGTTTCAAAGAGTGAGAGATTATTCTTTTTTACAGCTGCATAGTATTCCATTGTGTAAATGTACCACAGCTTTCTTTTTTAAAAT